GAATTAAAATCAAAATTTAATCTATTCCACACAAGGACTAAATTGGATATTACATATCCCCATCCTACAAAAAATGTCCATCCTTCCTTGCTATGCTATGCATTATTGAACTTAGGAGGCTTCACCGAATAAATAGTTATATAATTCGTAAGAGTAGATGTACAAACTTTTCTTACTCAACTTCTGATATCAACTAGAAATTATAATTGGCAACAATCGTGTCGGTGAAAGCTCCGCAAAAATTTAAAAAAAAAAATTAAATTAATTTCAACAGATAGATTTATCATGCCTAGGCAATAGATTGAAGAGTTATACTACAAGTACAGAAAATATTTGACGGAATTTTTATATATTGACACTTGACAATTTTTCATTGGTTTTGAGCCCAAAAATGACGGTAAATGCACCGTACTACTTGCACATGTATGGATTTTTTCTAGATTGAATTATGAAATTAGCTATGGTCCATGTGTCAATTAAAGTTATTTATTATTTCTTGGCTTCTAGAAGAAATTAGTTTATATGATATAATAGTGTTGCCCTCTTCGCCTAAAATTATTAATTATACATAGAAATGTCATAAAGGCTATAACTACCGCATTAATATCTTCAATATATGGATTGCTACAATAAGCATGTCATTTCATACCAAAATAAATACATGGCAAAAACATAAATATATAAATAAAAATGTGAACATCGTCAGCACACCTTCCACCTTGTGGAGAGCACGTTAGACATTTTTCGATTAATTCATTTTTATAATTATATGCTCATTTAATTTTTTATTATTTATCTTTATTCTTTTTCTACGATAAATAACTTAAAATTAGTGCAATTCACAGCCCATTGAAAGTGCTCTTTTCTTGCTTCCCATTTTGTTTGTCACACGTAAAACATTGCACATTGTGACATTGGAGTTGTTATCACGAATAATTAGAGAACAATTTAGTAAGTATTTTTTTTTTTAAATATTTGTAACAATTCTCTTTATTGGAATCTTCATTTTATTTTTTCAAGAAATATTTAATAATTTCTTCTTATCCTTTAATTAATATACTATTTATATGGAGTATTATAATTTTTATCTTGTTAAACGAAATAATCATAAAGTAAGAATGGAGAGACGAACACGTTCTATTTTGAAAGTTAAAATTTTGAGTTCCTGCAGCTTATTTTAACTATTAACTCTTTAAAATAGATTATATCTTATAGAGTTTTTTAAAGATACGCTATGAAGTTATTCACCCATCAAGTGACAAATTCATATTTCAAGTATAAATAAAATTTTCAGTTAGTTAATAATTCACGATTTTCAATTTTAGAATGGGAATCACAATATTTAGTGCTTGTTTGGTGGGGATTTTGTTAATTGATTTTTTGACCGTTAGAGATAAAGTGGGTTGTACCTGTAAGAAAAAAATTCAAAAATAATGGCTAGAATAGTGAAATAACGATAAAAAATTAATGTTAATTGGATTAAAATCCATACCAAACATTATCTTACTAAAATATTCTTTTCTTTTACTATTTCTGGGTGAGAAATGCTGCACGGAGCCTGTACAGACACACACATGTGGTGTCCATCCTCCATGTGAGATGCTCTGTACAAACCCTGTGCAATAGAGCACAGCACATGATCTGTGCAGGAGTCATTTCTCTTTCTAGGTGGATATGAAATAAGATGTAATAATTAATTAATCTAGAAGAGCAGCTTGATGAATTGTCGGTAATGTGAATCTAGAAGGCAATAAAAAGTCATTCAGCGTGGAATATGTTAACATCATTTGAAAAATTGACAAAATGTGTCCAAAGGCCGACACTGTTGATTGCTTTTATTTAAATGAAAGCTACTATTGATTTGTGCAAATCCATTTCACTTTTCTGTCTTCTACTTTTACACTAGAAGATGAAGTTTCTTTATCGAGATTTAGTAATGATAAATTCATAACATTCAAATGTAAAATTTGACCAGTGCGATCAATTTACACTTTATACAATGACAAATTAAAGTTTTAATATCTTGTATTCATCACTAGGAATGGTAATTTAACTCGTTGGACTGGCTCGAGAAAGAAAGGGCAAACTATCTTTAAATAGGCAGCACACGGCAGCCTATGTATTACAATAATAATAATAAAAATCAAGCCAACCCAACTAAGCTCGATAAGACCCGAGTTCAAAACTCGAGTCGAGCCTCGAATTTTTGGCTAAACTTTAGCTCAGTTCAGCTCGAGCAAAAAAAACTTGACTTAATTTTATTTGAATTCAACTCGAGCCTCGAATTTTGACTCACGAGCCGGCTTGATTCGACTAATTGACATCCCTGTTCACCACTAATCATATGAAAATTTTGAATTACAGATGATAGTAACCTAAAATTAAGTGATTTTTAAATAATTGAATAAATTCGTAATCTAGGTTCTATTTTTTTATTATATGTTAATGGTAAAATAGTATTCTAAGGAGCTCATTTGGTCTTGTCATCTATCTATACTTTTTTTTTTTTATATTTTTTTATTTTTATACCCAGGTGTCCCAGCTTCGCCAGACTAAATCCTGGACCCCTAGCCACCGGCCCCTCAGTGACTAGCGGAGATAAACCGTAGGTTGTGCTCTTGTTGGATCACAGGTTCCCACCCGATCTAAACTCCTGGCCTCAAGAGAGCTTTCCTCCATAGTGATTAATCCACCAATAAATTGCCCCTTTATTGGATCAAAGGTTCCACGCTGAGGTTGCGAGCGCGCCAAATGTGATTGATCCACCAACTCGAATGTGCCCTGGGGGGCTGTCATCTATCTATACTTAATTTTACGTCAAAGCTTGTTAAAGCTCCTAAAAGTTTGAATCTTGGTCTTACTATCGACCAACGTTTTATATTGTTTAGAATACTGGTAAAATTATATATGAAAATAGTAAGAAAAATTAGAATTGAACTCTAACTTTTATATAGTTTTGTTATGAGTTTCCATGTCTTTAAAAGTGAGGTTCCGAGTCTTTAACTCTTTTAAAGATGTGCAACCAAAATTGCTATCCACGTCTTTGATGACGTGGGACCAAATATATAAAATTTAGATGAGTCAAGGACCCGAATGTTTATAATATTTGGGGGTGTTTAGGCCACATTATTTTGGTAATAATACATTTTTGAATAGTGTATTGATGAGAAATGTATGGTTAAAAAATAAGGAAAAGTTTTTGATTTGTGTGTAATATTATTTTATTGAAAAATGTGTAGTTGAAATGATGTCAAATCACTGTTTAAAAATATATATTTTTTGAAATAATGTGTCTCAAACGAGCCCTTTATATAGCAAGGTTGGCCCACAAGCACATACTGCATCACCCACTCGACAGGCCTGCCAATTTACCCAACTTTTAGGCCAAAACCATATGTAGAGGGAAAAAATATCCTGCTGCCAAGTGCCCACCAGGAACAGTGAAGCTTTATAGGGTCGCATGTAGTCCGCATCTTCACAGACATATCTATTTCAACACGGCATTTAATTCAATCTATTTTTTGTGTTTTTCTTCATCAACTAATAAAAAATCGAGTACACGTAACATGGTTCGAATTTTTATGCGCCCCATCTATAAAATAAAACCATCTCAACGTTTATTTTCCCACCTGACCTAATCTACTCTTGCACAAATATCTCTCCATCGCGCACACAGATTCTAAATCTATCATGTTCCAAGTATTTGTTGAATAATCACAAATAGTACTTCCATAGAATCAATCTGTTGTTTGTGCCAGTAACTCTGTTGATCGACAGGAAACAATCAAGAATCTAGCCGTCTTGATAAGCAAGTACCATCATATTTTGCTTAATATCTTTTCTTCTCAGAGATCAAAAGAAACATGGCATTTGAGCAATATTTTATGCAGGAATGGAAATCCATTCCCGACTCTGAAAGGACTTCTCCTAACTTTGATTGCAGCATCTGTTTGGAATTTGTGTCTGATCCTGTAGTTACCCTTTGTGGCCATCTCTACTGTTGGCCCTGCATCTACAACTGGTTTCAGATTGCTTCCCTTGATTCAGACAAGAACCTACCCAGATGCCCAGTTTGCAAAACCGAAATATCGGAAAAAACGATGGTCCCTCTCTATGGCCGGGGCAATTGCCTCTCGGAAACCGAACACAAGATCAAGAATATACCGCCTAGGCCAACAGCTCGTGCCATACAAGATCCCGATCATCAAAATCGACGTAATTTATCTGATCCTTATTCCAGTAACGTAGAAGGAGATACTTCGTCTCCAATTGATCTTTCACATCCCACGATAGGGATGTTTGGAGAGATGGTTTATGCCAGAGTTTTTGGCAATTCAGAGAGTTTATACTGGTATCCTAACTCGTACCACCTGGTGGGAAGTAGTTCTCCTGGATTAAGAAGGCAGCAATTACAGGCTAACAAATCTCTCGGCAGAGTTTCGATTTTTCTCTTGTGTTGGTTCCTTTTGTGCCTTGTTCTATTTTAGTTTTATATTAGGAGTTTTCGCTAACCTTTCTTGATCCCATGTGTATAACTAGTTATATATTGATGCAATAGTGTATATATGATCTTATCTACTTCTCTGCAGTAATTTCTTATCCATTGTTCTTCATTTTTATGCTCTGATCTAGATCCAATGTTAAACAAATTCATCGGTAGCACACAATTTACCACATTCTCTGTAAGAAACGAAAGGGGAAAGTATTTACTGTTAAAGACCATTCAGTCAGTTGGATCAGATGGTCAATATTGTATCTTTCACGAGTGGAAGCGTACTATTCATACAGGAATTATTTTCTTGTACAACCGCGGTTGACAACTACTGCTGACAATATACTCGCAAGAGGGGGGTCCACGATTTTTTTATTCAGTATGGGCCTCCCTCCCATTGTCAACCCCAGTTGTACACATTGCACAACTGATTCATACAGAGGTTCCGTGAGAATAACGTCTGTTAGGAACCAGCAAGAGTTTCAAAATTTCTTTATCACTTATTTACTCGTATTCTGTCCCAAACTCGCAATTTCTTTTATCTTGTGGAAAGTGTTGTGATGTCCTATCCTTGTTAAAACAAAACAATTGTCAAAAACAACTCCCAGAGGAATAGTCTCTACGTTACACAAATTGCCTTGCCCACCTGTGTCTCGAGTAGGTTAACGGCATCACGCTGAGTGACGTAGTCCGGCTTGTTGAAGTCAGTGGCAGCTTTGGCTATTTCGGAAGGCAGCATTGTTCTGCGAAAATATATTTTGATTTAAATCATCGTAAGTATACGATTCGTTAACAAATAATAAAGTAAATTTTGAGTCCAAATATGATCCCACAGAGATTGATTTAGTTTGACTTTTATTACCGCGATTTTAACCGAAACAAGAGTAATAAGAATTAACTAAACTAAATACAAATTATGTTTAATGCAAATTGTTGTATTTGATGAATGACACAGGTACCAGGATCATGAATTCCCATGTAATAACTCTTTTTAGTCTTAGTTTTACACTTTGACAACATATTGTATATTGAAGAATCAATGTTCTGTGGATCAATCAACATTTGTCTTGCTTCCAGCGGCAGGGTGGAGGTTCGAATTTTGGTGGGAACCTGCAGCCAGATTTATTTGGTATGGAACAATCACTTTGGAGGAGGATCTCTTGTGCGCAGAAGTGTACAGGCGATGGGGGGAACCTGTGATCCAGTTGAGGCATAACACGTGATTTACCCCCTTCAAGGTTCTAGGGGCAAGGATCTTGAGGGTCCAGGATTTAGTCTAGTGTATGCTGGGATACTTGGATATCCAAAAAAAAAAAAAAAAAAGAATCAATGTTCCTATTATATTCAACAATTTCTCTCGAGTAATATTAAATATATTCTCATATATGATCCAATTATATCTCTATGATGGATGCTAACATACAAGAATGCATGAATTTTTATGAACACTTAACGATTCATCTAAGACATAGCGATAGATCTATATCCTTTATCGGACTGTATGATGATTTATACCATGTCGAGTGTATTTTCCTTTTTTCTAATGCATAAAATAAGCCAACATATTCACACAATTACCGTGCATAATAATCGTGAAAAAAAGAAATTCATATAAACCATTCAATATTCAAAACATGTTTTTGAGATCAACTATGTAAAATTAAAGATTAAAAAGTCATGCTATTCTTTTATTGTTCTTCTAGTACGAATAAATCTAGCCTGACATGTTAGAAAGAAGAAAACAAAAGAGTATTAAAGAAACAACATCACAAATTTAAATCTTCAATTGAATCATTGGGTCTTCAAATCAATTTTTGCGTTCCTTGCCTCCTTCTATGCTCTAAAACCCTATGAATATGTTAGAATGTGTAATCAACACTTTTGGACAGCTTTTGGGTTTTAAAAGATGTCCAAAGATTTGTTTCCATACGAATTTAAATCATATAAGGAAACCAGATTTATAACGAAGTACAATTCAATGCTATAGCATAGTTCATTAAAAATCAAGCCTTCAAGTCTCTGAAAATAGGCAGGCAACTACATGGAGAATCCTTCTATGCGACTACATAGTATTGGCAAACTTCCAAAAGTTGCATTTTAGTCCTCGAACTCCGTTTTCTTGTTTCTTAACCTCTTTTATCATTTTTTCTTCTTCCGACACTTCATGTCTTCACCAATTTGGTCTTTGCTCTTTCACATTCTCATTTATGCTTTCGGATCATCTTTCAACTATTTACACTTTGGTCCCTGAACTTTGGTTTTCTTCAATTTTGGTTCTTTTTCGCTTATTTTTCCTAGTTTTCGCCATATTCATCAATGTTGTCATACAAAACATAATTTATATAAAATCAAGCCATATTTCAACATATTCATCAACAATTGTCCATTTTTTTAGTCAAAATAAATGTGTAAAACGCACTTATCAAATATCTCTACCGCCACCTTGAGCAGAGCCTCACTGTTAGAGCCTAAAAAGTCTATATCTTTGTCACTTCAACTTCAGTGAGTCGGCTTCTATTGCCTTGCTTGGAGTCAAGTCCTCACTGCCACCTCGTTCTCGTCTATTGAAAATACATGTGTTATATGAATATTCATACTTATAAGTGATTGAAGCGAATCATACCTTGTACCCACCATCATAAAAGAGTCCAATGAACAACCAACAACTGACAAACAACACGTTAATAACTCAAACAAATACGATAACTCAAATTTGATATTGATCCAACACTGCATAAAGTTGCCAGAAGAATACCGAATATTAATCCGTGATAGTGAAGATGCTTTCTATGTAGTCTAGAGTTCAAAAAAAGTTCCAATACTTTTTCCTTTATGCCATAAAACAAAGTATTCATGGATTGGGGCTTTGATACCACATGGATTTTGTGATTGCAAGCAAGATATGAGATGTGTTTTGAACAAACGTAGCTTCAATCTAAATCAAACGAGTAAACAATTATCAATTTAAGATGTGTTTTGTAAATAAACTTAACTAAAATAACTAAGATGACCTCCTTAAATATAGCTAAGAAGCTTATGAGATTAGGTAGTTAGGAATTTTTATTTCACTTAAGTTGTTTTAATGTTCATCGAATTTTAATTCACTCAACCCCGTTTTATATGTGCTAACAATTAAATTAACCTAATGTAACTCGTGATCTCTTTCAACTAACACTAATCTTATTCATATGCCCGGTTTACTATATCTCTATGTAAATTCACACACATATGAACATTTTAATCTACAAGAATTCTATACAGAATGCATAATATATAATTATCTCTCGATCTCCTGAAACACCTATGTATTGATTGCTTTGCATTTTTCCATCGTAAGCGTATGATATCATAACAAGTAATATAGCGGACCTTTGAGTCTAGATTATTGTTCACACGAGAACTATAATTCAATATTTAGTTTACTATTTCTTTTGACAAAACCAAACATGAATTGTGATTGTGTTGATTATTTTTCTAACTACTTCTAATTAATTGAAATAGTAATATGCACACAAAGGTACGTCGAAAATTCAAATATGGAATTGATATTATGGCATAACAATTTCATCTATTGCTTACCTTTAAATCTTAATTCAAGATCCATAAATATAGTTTAGTGTTCAATCGAATTCTTCAATTGTATTCAATTTATCCATATCGAGTTCTCATTGAGTTTATTTAACTAATTCGATCACATATCTCTATGTAATCAATCTTAATTAAATGCACTATTTGTTCTAAAAATTCATATAACAATCGCAATAGTTAGTATAGGTATCTCCATATGTTACATTAAATATTTATATTTTAATATGTGGTTTAAATCTAAAACTCACCTCTCGATATGTAAATTCACAAAATCATTGAATTAGTATTCATAATTCAAAGCATTAAATACATAATAAAAATCCACACATATACAATAAAAGAACTTGAATCTTGAATAAAAGAATAAAGGGTCTCAATAAATTACATTGTTTACCCTTATGAAAAGCGTAGATATTTATGATAGATGAAGAAAAATAATTAACAATAATGAAGTACATCATCGAATTTTGAATGGATATGTGGAGAAGTGAATGAATCATGCATCAAATTCATCTCGTCTCAAATATTGATTCCAAGCCCTAGCTCTTGATTTCTTGTTTTTCTTATTTGATTTTGCTCTCTCAATCGCAAATTACGTTCTTATGTATTTCAATGTGTGAAACTACTTTCAATTGCCTCTATTGTATTTATAAGCGCTTCCATGTTTTCATCGAATTTGGAGTTTTATGTGCTTTAAAAAGGCCAAAATCCGCATCCCAGATAAGCGCCACAACTTTATATTGCGCAATTTGGTAGCGCTTTGGCGCCATGATGTAGCCAACTTTTAGATAAAAAAAATCAGCACTGCGCATCCTTGAGTATTTTTATTATAACCTTTTTTGTTGATATCCGATTAATTTTATTCAAATTGAATTATAAAGATAACTCAAAGGGCTACAGTTTTATTATAAGTAGCTCTTTTCTGATTCGAAGGTTTGCTAGGTCAAAAATGGGTCTGAATTTTTGGCTAAAAATTTGGAACATCCTTGTACTGTAGAAAATCAATTTGTGAAAATGTTTTGATCGTATTTTTCTCCTTTTGACTTTTAATTGCATTGAATTGACCCCTAACATTCTAAAATTTTCATTGTGAGGCCTGACATAACTTTTGAGTATTTACACTTTTAATATTATGCAATTTGGTGGCGCTTTGGCACCATCATGGGGTAAAAAAATCAGCATTATGCATCCTTAAGTATTTTTTTTTATAACCTTTTTTGTCGATATCCAATTAAGTCGATTCAAATTGGGTTGTAAAGATAACTGAAAGTGCTACAGTGTTACTATATGTAGCTCTTTTCCAATTTGAACGTTTACTGGGCCAAAATAGGTCTGAATGTTCGGCTAAAAATTTGGAACGTTCTTGTGCTGTATAAAATCTATTTATGAAAATATTTTGATCATATTTTAGTCATTTTGACTTCTAATTGCATTGAATTGACCTTTAGCATTCTAAAATCTTTATTGTGAGGTCAGATACAACTCATGAGTGTTTTTGCTGTTCAGTCCTCAAACTTTGGATCTTATTCTTTTTCACCA